GACGATACTCAAAGGACATTTCAAGACTAATCTCTCAATTCTGTAAATTTTTCTCTTTTTTTGTCTTTTTCAGTAAATTCCTTCTAGCAGTTTCTCCTTTCTTGACTTTCTATTATCTGATACTAGATTTCTAATTTGTTCTTTTTTTTTTTTGCCTATTATCTTTTTTCCTTTCTGTTCTTTAAAGTCTTCAAAAAGTTTAAAAGTTTAAAAAACAGTAGAGTCCCTTTACTATTTCCTTCTCTTGGTTTGTTTGGATCTCTCCATAGATGTAAGTTTTTCTCAGAACTGTGTGGAGGCATCCAGCTAGTTATGTTTAAGAGTGAGTACTGCAGAGCTGACTAGAGGCCCTTTGCGAGGTATGGAGGCTGATGGGCTCAATCTGGTGGCTAGCTCCTGTTTTTCATCCAGAACCCCCTTCCCAAAATCAGCATCAATCGGTCTTTATCTTTGCTCTTTATTCTGAAGCCGGGAAGGGCTAGGCGTTTGAGGCTCACCATTCCGGAGGTCAACTTGAACTTAATTTCCCTGTCTCCCCTCCCTCCTGGAGTGAGGGTCATAGGGCATCTCTCCTTATTGTTAGGCCCATTCCCATTTTCCATTATGCCTCTAATTCCCGAACCTTCCTGGGTTCCTCCAGAACCCCACTTCCTATTGTCATGTCCACCCCTACCTCCCTGCGTTTAGATGCTACCCTCAAACTCTCTGTTAGAACTATTCCTCCATTCACTTTCTGTATTCATATATTGTGATTTGGGGTGAGCCCCACTTGCTTCCAACTTGAGTATGTGCTTCTGTTTCTTGTTTTATTTTTTGGTGTTTGCATGATTTTTGAGAGAAGCAGCAGGGAAAAAAATGTCTTGGCTTTGCCATCTTGAAGCCACCTAGAGCCTCAGAAGCTCTTCATGCTCTTGTTTGTAGAAGCCTAACAGAGTTGAGTCATTTTCCCTAAGATAGAAAGAGAGAGTAGGCCCTCAGCTATAGAGTATTATGTGGAAACTGCCAGGGGTGATACCCACACCTGACCAACACCCTCCAGCTATTGCTGCTCGGTGTCTTGCAGGGACCTTGGCACCCCCACCCCAGTTTCTACTTCCCGTTCTTGTATGCAGGCCAAGTCCCCAGCTCTGGTAGACTGCATTTCAGCCAAGGGTGCCTATTTTTGACAATATGAGACTGTGTGTTTTGTTGTTTGTCTCATCTGTGGGAGACAGAGGGAATTTCCAGAAGATCACTGTTGGCTGAAGCTGTGTGGTGGGGCATCCCATGAAGGGATGGAAGAATTGAGGGTTGAAAAGCTAAAGCTGCTTCCATAGGAAACATTTCCACTACCTTGATTGCCATCTCATATTCCTCACTGACCCCAGATGAGTCAGAGGGGGTTTGGGGTCCCCTCCAAGGCTTGGCGCCTTTGTCAGCTGACTTTCTGAACACCACCATCCCACACCCCTTGCAGGCTCCCTCCCCAGCTAAAATACTCTGATGGTGGGTGTCTTGGGTGCTGCCTCTGCTGGCATTTAGTTCCTGGGTTTTATTAGCTCAAATGAGGATTCTTTCTTTTAAACAACTGCCCTAGGTGTGGGACAAAAGGCACAGAGGCTCTTTTTCTCTTTTAAGTATAATTAAGGATTTAAAAATCGCCTGGTGCCACTTCCCAGTATACACCCTTAAAGAATTGAAAGCAGGATCTTGAAGAGCAATTTGTACACGCGTGTTCACAGCAGTATTTATTCACAATAGCCAAAAGGTGGAAGGAACCTAAATGTCTGTGGATAAACAAAATGTGGTATATCCATGCAATGGAGTATTAGTCAGCCTTAAAAAGTAAGGAAGTTCTGACACATCGTCCACATGTGGACATTATGCTAAGTGAAATAAGCCAGTGACAGAAAGACGAATACTGTATGATTCCACTTATATGAGGTTCCTAGAGCAGCCCAATTCATAGAGACTGAAAATAGAATGGTGGTTTCCAAGGGTTAGGGGAAGGGAAATAGGAGTTGCTATTTCCTGGGTATAGAGTTTCAGTTTTACAAGATGAAAGCGTTTTGGAGATTGGTTGCACAACCCTGTGAATGTACTGAACTGTACACTTAGGAGTGGTTATGATGGTAAATTTTATGTTATTTGTATTTTACCACAATGTAAAAAAATCTCTGGAGGCTCATGACTTTAAAGAGCTTCTCCAGAAGCTGCTGACCCCCTGGTTCTTTCTTTTTCTTTCTTTTTTTTTTTTTTTTAAGATTTTTATTTATTTATTTATTTGACAGAGAGAGACACAGTGAGAGAGGGAACACAAGCAGGGGGAGTGGAAGAGGGAGAAGCAGGCTTCCCGCGGAGCAGGGAGCCCGATGTGGGGCTCGATCCCAGGACCCCGGGATCATGACCGGAGCTGAAGGCAGACGCTTAACAACTGAGCCACCTAGGCACCCCTCTTTTTTTTTTTAAGAGAGGAAGAGAAGTGGGGAAGGGGCAGAGAGAGAGAGGGAGAGAGAAAATCTTAAGCAGGCTCCATTCCCAGGTCAGAGCCCGATGTGGGGCTTGAGCTCACAACCCTGAGATCATGACCTGAACCGAAACCAAGAATCGGATGCTTAGGGGTGCCTGGGTGGCTCCATTCATCAAGTGTCTGACTCTTGGTTTTGCCTCAGGTCATGATCTCAGGTTTTGGGATCGAGCCCCAAGTCAGGCTCTGTGCTTAGTGGGGAGTCTGCTTGAGGATTCTTTCCCTCCGCCTGTCCCCTTGCGTGCACATGTGTGCATGTGCTCTATCTCAAATGAATAAATAAATCTTAAAAAAAGACACTTAACCGACTTTCCCAGTTCTTTTTTGAGACCACTGAATCTCCAGCTCTTAGGTTTCACTCTGATGGGGTCAGTTCCCTATTCTTTGGTGGACAAAGCAACAAAAAGAGCAAAGCTGGAGGGCGGCAAGGACAGGGCAGATTCTTGCCGAGCCTTGAGGATCAAGAAACAAAGAGTGGTCCATCTCTGAAGCCAGGGCATTTACCCTCAAGGAGAAGGCACTGTTGTTACCCATTTGCAGCCTCCTGGGCTCATAAGCACTCAGCCCTTCATGTTACAGATGAAGAAACTGAGGCCCAGATGGGGGAGGAGCAGAGGGCCTTGTGCACAGGGTCACACAGCCGGTTGGTAGCAGAGCCTCCAAGGCAGCCTGGGTTCTGTGTGCTTTGCTTTACACCCTCCCACTAGGAAATGTGAGCTGTGGACTGTGGCCCACAGGGTGGTGATGACAAGGCTGCAGCGTTCCTGCCTCTCAGGCAAGGAGAGCGAGACGGGGTAACTGCCTAGGCAGGGCCACAGTCAGATGGGGACATGAAAGGAGGGAAAGTGCATCTTTTGGTATCTCCTTACCATTTTTCTGCTCCTCATATTCCAGCCCTCGGCAGAAGGACCCCAAACCCATGCACTCAGACTCAGAGCTCAGGGGTGCAAATGGGTTCCTCTCCTGGGGCCGCTCACAGGCTGGTGCTCAGCATGGAGACGTGGATCCCCACTGTTGGAATGTCACTCATTGTAGTCCTTAAGTGGGGAAAATACTTCAGGTTTATTGATAAGGACATTCCTGAAGTCTTAAAATCATCGCTTCTAAACTCCAGCACTCATAATTCCATCTGCAGTTTGTACTGTGCCTTATCTTCTGTTTGTATATATAGTTAGTATTTGTCTTTATATCCTTTACCTTTTTAACTTAGTTTTTATTTTATTATATGTATTATTTATAACATATATACTATTATCATGTTCAGTGATATCATATATTAAAAGGAAACTTGATATCATGACTATATATGGAAAACCAGATTCACTTACCATAAATAGAAGGTAACTATAAAAAGAAATATAATGACACCAAGACAGTTTTAAATTCTAGCTGGTTTCCACTGCCTGCGGAAGGCTTTGAGCCTGAGGCCTACTCTTTGTTGGAAAGGAAGAATCAGAAGTGTGAGGGAGGTGTTGAAGATGTTACTACTACCATCCTGGTGCTTAGAGGTCATCCTGAGTAAACAAGGACCCAACATGAATCACCTCTCACTAGTCACTGTTCTTTGATGAAATCAGCTGGGGCACAAGAATCCTTGGTCCTGACTGTAGAAACTGTTCCTTTTTAAGGTATCACTCAGGCAACCGCCCTCACAGGGTGGGTCCTGGGTGTGGTTTAAGGGTAGTGAATAACTGCAGGAGACTTGGTCTTCACCCTGGGGTGAAGCTTGGGAAAGGAGAGCAAAGAGGGAGTGGATAGAACACAGACCATGTGCAAGCCCTGAGTGTGGTGACACATCAGAGCGGGTGTCACAGGGGAGACGGGCTTAGCAGGAGCCTGTGCGTCACTCCTGTCCACAAAGCCCAGGCGGGAAGAGTTCTCATTTTTTACTAGTTTGGGGGAATCACTCAATTTTCTGTTTGCTCATCTGTAAAATGGAGTTACAGATTCTGGATATCCTATGAGTGTACTGTAAGGACTGAATTGAAAAACGAATAAAAATGTACCTTGTTGGGGCGCCTGGGTGGCTCAGTCGATTAAGCGTCTGCCTTCGGCTCAGGTCATGATCTCAGGGTCCTGGGATCGAGCCCCACTTCGTCGGGCTCCCTGCTCAGCGGGGAGTCTGCTTCTCCCTCTGCCCCTCTCCCTCCCTAGTGCTCACTCTCTATCTCTCTTAAATGAATAAAAAACATGTACCTTCTGTAGTATTGGGTATGATTGTCCTGAGTCTCCCTTGCTCCTCCCCCCCCTTTTTTTTGCGTTTTTTTTCTTAAGTAAACTCTAACCCCAAGGTGGGGCTCAAATTCATGACCCCAAGATCAAGAGTCACATGCTCTGCCGACTGAGCCCGCCAGACACCCCAGCCTCACTCCTCCTTGGTCCAGCTTCTGCAGAAAAACCTGCTGCCTCTGCTACAGCCATGCCTCAAAGAAGTGGAAAATAAGCAGGCAGGAGGTTTGAGATGGCTTTTTCAATGTCCCTGTCCCCCCTCCAGGTACCAGGATCATCTATGACCGGAAGTTCTTGATGGAGTGTCGGAACTCACCTGTGACCAAAACACCTCCGCGGGACCTGCCCACCATTCCCGGAGTCACCAGCCCCACCAGTGAGGAGCCCCCCACAGAGCCCAGCCAGAACCACCTGCGCAACAGCCCAGAAGATAAGCCGGCCGGTGGTGAGTGACAGGGTTTGGCCAGGCTCTTCCTCAGGAAAGGAACATATGCAGCCGGTGGAGCCCCTTCAAAGACGAAATTTCAGGGAGGGGAATGAGGGTCACTGCCCCACCTTCTGCGGAGCAGCTCAGAGACCAGACACGTGGGGTTGGGGGGGTAGGTAGAACTTTCAACGGTACCAACTTTCCCCATGAAAGGAGTCCAAGAACTCCAGGAGAGGTGATTTGTCCCCATCAGGTAATCTAATTCATGGGGGAGCTTGTTTGAAATGAGGGGGACTCCACACAGCAACTTTCATAAGCATGACCCTTGGTATTATTGTCCCTGAAGCATTTCCTCGTGTCTGCCACACTTGGGACACACCCATGATGTGCATGTGCAGGACATGACTTATCAAAGATATGGTAAACTTGCCCTCTAGAGAATTACAGGTCTACAGGATGAGAAAGGAATCCAGGATGCCTCCTGTCAGGATATTGACCCGCTAGTGGATCCACTAGTGGATTCTTGATGAAGACAGAAACAATGCAACCAGATGTTTCTGCAGGTTTGACATAAGGCGGCTAGGTCCTTCCTGGTATCTCACCCCACCTTTCCCCTAAATCAGAGCGACCACCCCGGTGGAGGTCGTGTGTGTGAATGCACTCTGTGTGGCATCATGACTAGCTCGCCAGAGCATCTCAGCTCTCCCGCTGTGGGAGGATGAGGTGTAAGCACTTGCAGACAACCTGAGTCAGATTGGAACCTGCTGACCCTTTACCCGGAAGGCAGTGGACCAAGGCCAGAGAGGAAGCATCTGGGACCTCAGGCTGGACTGGCCCTGCTGACAGCAGCAGGGTCTATCTACCCAGGGTCTTTCAATGGTCTGCGGGACGTGATTCATAATTACCCTGGGAACCCCACAGCCCCTGACCGGCAGCCTTTGCCTTGCATTGCAGACTTGGAGAACAGTGGGAAGGAGGGAGGCGGGGAGGTGTACTTGGGCACACATGGAGCAGTGTGAAGGACAGCTCCAGGCAGTGTGGTCACCTGCCTTTCATTAAAGGATGCAGAGAAGGATGAATAGATTCATGTGGTCAGTTCCATGGTGCTTCCCACCCACCCCTTTTGCCTCAAACCAAAGACTAGAAGTCGAGGATGGAGGTAGTCACACCTGACATTGTGGAACCATCACTACCTGACGGCTGTGCCAAACCCCTCCCAGTTTCTGGAGCTGTGCTCACCCATAGCAAATGCAGGGTTGGCCCAGAGGTGCCCCAGGCTGACCAACCCTGAACCCACAATAATGGCCTAAGAGTTCCGTTGTGATGGTGAGGGATGGACATAATTTTTCATTTTGCTTAATAGGATATTAGCCAAAGATCCTAGCCTCGGACCATGTATTTGTGTAAATATAACCAGAAGATGTGGTCAGTTTCCCTCTGGGGGCCAGGGTGGGCATCTCGGTATATAGAACTCAAAGCAGCCTTACCCAGGAGATCATGAATGAGGCAGCTCCATTAAAGAAAACAACCTCCTACAGCGTGAGTTGCTTGGAGGTTTTTGTGGAAAGAGTGAGGGCAAGGGCAGTGAGTAGCTGAATTATCAAAATAACTCCTTTACTGCAGAGTCAGGCTATTCTGTTGACAGTTGGACATATGCCTAGTAGGTTGTATTGCCATCTTCTAAACCAAGGTTGGGACACATGCTCAAAAAAGGTTTATGTTTAAGGTACATTCTTCTGTGAGGTTGTATTTATATCAAAGCCAAGTAACCATTCACTCTTGTTAAAAACGATAAAAATTATAAAACATTCAAGACTGTCACTTCTCCTGTGGGGAGACCCGGTCTCTGCTCTTCCTTTAGGATTGGGGAAGAGAACACAGCTGGACCTTCAGGCCTGTTTCCAGGAATTCCTAGTGGAGTCCTGCCCTCCCTCCATTTCCCTTGGCCCCTACACTTGTAGGAACAACAAAATGAAAATTAACGCCTCTCCCTGGCCTCTAAAGTGTGAGACCTACCATTCACCCGTTGCTTACCTGGCTGTCTGTCCTTTCTCTCCCCAGGTGAAGAGTCACAGTTTGAAATGGACATTTAAAGGACCAGCCATTGAATCGAGCAGTGCCTCTGGGCCCCCCTGGCCCTTCTCGGGAGAGAAGTCACACCAGTCAGACCTTTTGGGAGTCCTAATCCTGGGCAGGCGTTGAGCATGGGGTTGGCCATCCTGACCCTCCGCTCCCTCACTCAGGGCACCTTCTCCCCCTTCCTCTTTGTGAACACCAGCGGATACCTCCATGTGCCTTCATTCATGCAGAAGCTGCCACCCTAACAGGAGTGACTCTCATGAGCACACCCTGCAACCCAGGGCCAGGATTGGATGTGGAGGAGCCCTTCTGAGTGATTATCCAGCTCTTCCAGCCCCATCCTCTGGGGGTGCACCCACCCCTTCCTTAGGTTGGTGTGTGTGGGAAAACTCCCCTCCCCCTCCTTCCCCAAGAGAGGAAATAAAAGCCACCTTTGCCCTAGGGCCAAGAGTTGGCCCCTGTCTGAGCTCTTTTCAACTCCGTATGGATAACTAACACCAACTACTATTTGTACTTCTAAATACTTTCCTATATGTTATCTCATTTGATTCTCACACTGAACCTAGAAGGTAAGTAGACTGTTATCCTCATTGTACAGGTCGGAAGACTGGCTCAGAGAAGTAAAACACATACCAGTAAATGACAGATGGGACTGGCTTTGAGCTGTGTGCTGCCCTCTAGCTCCTGTTATTCAGTGGTGGGTGCTATTTCTTTTCTGGGCTTTGTCCCCCAAGCCTGTCAAGTGACCCCGTCCCCTTCGTTCTATGGCCCATTCCCTGCAAGAGTCCAAGGGAAGAACCTGAGCCTTGGATGATATAGTGTGTCTTTGACCTATGCACCCCTCATATTTGTCCAGTGATCCCTTTGTGTGAGCTCCCCCGGGGACACAAACATGAGACAAGTGCTCTGCCTTGAGGATTTCACTGAAGCCTAAGATTTGCCCGGAAGGAAAGGTAATATAAAAGATTGTATAGGATTGGTTACCAGAGAATGGTCCATGCAAGTAGAAACTTCATGGAGGTGATGCTGCAGCTGGGGTCCTGCGAAGGAGTGGGCTGAGGAGAGGCAGGGGCCCAGTATTGCCAAGGTCAAATGGTCTTGGAGAACCAGGGCATTCAAGCACAAGACGTCAAGTTGCCCACTTTAGACGTCAAGTTGCCCACTTTAGCCAGAGCCGGCGATTTGTGTGGGTGGGGACGGCTTTTATAAATGGCCATAGAAGGGCCAGATTTCTAAGGGCCTTGAATGGCAGGCAGAGGGCTTGCTGAAAAGTAGCAGGTGTTTCTCATTACAGGATATGTGGGGGTGAATGGCCTTTGGTCAAGAGGCAATGGCTGACCTGGACCTTACAGTTCTGGACTACTAGCACTTGTCAAACCGCCATTTAGGGAGCAGCAGGCCTTAGTGGCCAAGTCCTTTGCCTGGCCTTTCCTACAGCTGAGTTGGAGTCCCCTCCCCTCACAGGGACTATGGAGGCAGCTGGAATCCGTGTGCCTGGGGAGGGCATGTGGAAGGGCCCAGCCCTAGTGGCATGCTGGCTTCAGGCACACAGCATACTCTTTGCATATAGATAGAAAGCAAGACTGAGGGGCCACTGCCAGAGCAAAGACAACTAAAGCTCCAACTAGGATCGGGATAGAGACCAATCAGCCTTCCCAGTCCCGCAGCTTTCCAGTAAAAGCACCCAACCTGATGTCTTGCTCACAAGTCTGCATGATATTTCCATTCCCGTGGTCCTACATCTTATAGTCCAAGAGAGGGTAAAAAATAGGCTTTTCTGACAATAAGAAAATCATTTACAAGTTGTATGCCTTTCCCAGTGAACACAAGTATCCTCCAGAAAACCCAGGTGTTTTTAAAGATTAGAGCGAGCATGGGGGGGTGTACAGAGGGAGAGGGAGAATCTTCAAACTCCCTGCTGAGCACAGTCTGATGGGAAGGGGGGTGGGGCTTGATTCCAGGACCCTGAGATCATGACCTGAGCCGAAATCCAGAGCCAGTTGCTTAACTGACTGAGACACCCAGGCGCCTCTCTTGAGCATCATTTTAGCTGGGTGCTATGAAATGGTGAAGATCTATGACAGAGAGAAGGCTCCCGTGGCCCAATTTAACATCTCAGTGTACTGAGTCTTATTAAAACTTTTGTGGGATGCCCTAGGAAACCATCAGAGTTTGGCTTGGGAACGTAGGGACAACTGGGGGACCACTGCCACATGCTGTGAGCCAGGGAATACAAAGAAGTGTTTTAAGCCGTGGTGTGGGTGCCCGAGGTATTACAACCTGGTCTGGAGATGCAAGGTGCTGCGGATAGGACACCTAGAAATGTCATAAAGCGATACTTCTGTGGTTGTCCAGTGGGTGGTAACTGTGCAGATGCCATAGGTTAAGGGAATCTGAGAAACCTTCAGAGAAGAGGAGGGACTTTATAGGACCCTATGTAGGACTTGAATTTAGGAAAGGCCTTCCTGGGTCAAGAACGGCGGATGTGCAGGGACCAAGAGCAGTGTAGCTGGAGGAATGTTAAAGCCGTTGGGTTTTCCGCGTGTGGATGAAGAGGCTGAATCAGGACAGTGGAGTCTGCAATACTCTCTCCTGGGAAAGGAGGCTTGATGGCACTTGGTGGAAGGAGGAGAGACGTGTGGGAGGTGTCTGGGCTGGGTGGCCCAGAAGAGAGGTTGGATGGGAATGCGGGGTTAGCAGTTGCACCGAGTAAACAGCGAGAAGGCTGGAACCAGAACCTTGGGGAATGTTCCCAGGGAGCATGAGTTCAGTAGGGACCTGAGCGCCAGTGATTTTCCAACCTCCTTGCTGCTGTTGGCACAGCTGTGGGCATCCCTCAGACTCCCAGGAAGCCAGACAAGGTCATCTTTCTACCAGCGGCCTTTCGTGAGACATTCACCATGGACGTGACTCAAGGAAGGGCCCAAGGGCACAGCCAAGCAAGAAATCCCTTGGTCTGAAAACCAGTACCTCTGGAGGGGCAGGGTTCATGCATAGACCCGCATAGACCCCCAAGTCGTCTTTTCCAGCTAAATCCAACCTCAGTCTGATTTAACAAGGCTTTGCTAAGCCTCTTATGCATACCCAGCAGGGTGCTGGACCTTGAGGCAATACAGAATGTCAGGCCCACCACCTGAGGACAAAATCCGAGGAGGCATGATGAAGTGCTTGTAAGTGGAGTGAAGCTGGACCTGAGCAGTTGAAGATTGTGAAGGCAGGGTGGGCTGTGGGGGAAACTGCGGGAGTGTGCGTAGGAGTATCATGTGAGGCTCTAGCGTGTTCTTGTAGCGCAAGGTAAATTTAGATAGCCTAAGATTAGATTATTGGGAAAAAAAGCCATTGGTTGAATGCCTTTTGTATGCCTGGAGCTTTACTACAATCTTACTCATGGCCCCAAAAACATAAGGTAGATTTTTTTTTTTTTAAGGTAGTTGTTTTTATTCCCATTTTACTTACGTCCGTGGTGGCTGTGTGTCAGAATTAGGATTCCAGCTTCTGTCTGTCCAGCTCCAAAGCCCATGCATGTTCTTTATACCACACTGGTTGGAACTGAGGTCTGGGTTCTGTAGATTCCGAGCCCTAGACAACTAGGATGTCAGTTGGAGGTATTAAGGCAGTGCCAGACGTGTGAAGGTGAATCAGGTGAAGGTAACTAGAACCAGGCAGTTCTTCGGATGTTCAGTGGATTGTTCAGAATTAGGAGATGGGGATGAGGGTGAAAACCAAGGAATGTTCGGGATGGAGGACCACCCTCCCCTAGGCGTGCAGGGTGCAGGATGGGTCGTGTGGGGGTGGGTGTCTTTATGATAATCACCTGTGGCCAACAAAGAACCACACCCTAAAAAGGAAGTAAGCCATTGAAGGTGTTATCAATAGAGATGTTAAGGATTTAAGTTCCCTGGTTAGCTTTCTATAAAAGACCAACCCTGGGGCACCTTTGGTTAAGTGTCTGCCTTTGGCTCAAGTCTTGACAGGGTCCTGGGATCGAGCCCCGCGTTGGGCTCCCTGCTCAGCAAGGGAGCCTGCCTCTCCCTCTCCCACTCCCCCTGATTGTGAGCCCTCTGTCTCTCTCCCTCCCCTCTCTGTCATATAAATAAAATCTTTAAAAACCAGAGCAGTGGGCACAGCAAAGCTCTACTTTCTAGGTGCTGACGTCGCGGAGGTAACATACGTTTAGGGATTGAGGCTGTGCGGGATTCTTGTCTTGTATATTCAGCTTTCATTGCTGAAATCCCAAACCTGGCTTCCTCAAAATAAGGTTCAGAACTTATTCAACCCTCCCTGCCCTCCTAAGCAGAGGACACGTGCCCCTTGCTATGGGACCATGAATCCCGCAAGGAAGAGCCAGCTCCCCAGTGACAGGCAGTAGACACCTCCGTTTCTGGAAATAACTAGAACAAAGCCTCCCTCCTCATCTGCAGCAGGTTAAATCAACATGAGAAGGTGAGGAAATGGCAGATTAATTGGGGGAAAGTATAACCCCTGAAGATTAGTAGGTTTTCTTGAATGTATACATTCCAAAGAATATGACTTGGCAAGTAGTCTGTAGGGAGAGAGGGGACTCCATGGCCAGACTGGAAGTGAACGCCTCCTTCCCCGAGCTGTTCAGAGGCCATAGCTCAGGGCGCTGGTTTTTGAAGGAAGACTTTTGAGCGGTCATTTGTTCCGTAATCTCAGGTTCTCTATAGGAGAGGTTTGAGTTTCCAGCTGCAATACTCAAGTTTGTGCTGCCTCCTGCTGGAAGAGTTCATTAAGACAAGGAAGGAGGGTGGGGGGATGGGTTAGCCTGGTGATGGGTATTAAAGAGGGCACATTCTGTGTGGAGCACTGGGTGTTATGCACAAACAATGAATCATGGAACACTGCATCAAAAACTAATGATGTAATGTATGGTGGTTAACATAACAATAAAAAAATTATTAAAAAAAAAAAAGACAAGGAAGGAAGCCTACATCTCCGTTATTGTGTTCCATTCAGTTAGGTGAGGGAAAGTGAGGGGTGCCACTGGTATTGTAGACCTAAGCGCACTTCTTCACATTATCTCAAGATTATGCGACTGGCCCCTCATTCTCTGAGAAGTATACTGAGGGACAAGTTTTCCAGACAGTGTGACCAGAGGTGTATCGGGGGTTAGAACCAGGGGTAGCGTAGAACACTATGCACTGCTCAGACCTCATTTGGGACAAGCTAGTGACAACCCTCCCCCCCACTCCCACCAGCCAAACAGAGCCATGCATGCCACTGTACTGCCTTCAGACCTCAACTCACCAACTATAGCCAGGTGGCGCTATCCACCTAGGAACAAAGTTTACTCTTCCATGGCTTCTCAACTTGAACGTTCACCATAAGGTTGCCTGTAAAATTGTTGAGTCACTCCACCCTAACCTGGGAGAACCAAGACTGCCTTCCAAAAGGACAGGACTCTGAACTGTTATAAACGCTTTCCTTAGGCTCTATCAGGATAGGTTCAGATTTGCACTGGAATCATGGATATAAATGTCGTTGTCACTCAGGTCATCCCCCAACTCCTGGGACAGTTTCAGCTCCTGAGTCCTTCAAGAACCACCGAGAAGCCCATCCAGAGCTGTGTTTCCTGGCTTCTGAGCTGAGCAGACAAGGGATATTTACAACATACTAGAAAGCTCTGATGTTCTACA